TTTTTAGTGCTTTTGTTAAACAGAACATTTTCCAAAATAGATGATATTTAGATGATAAACATCAAGAAATTAATTATTATAATTAAATGGAGTTAAATTTTAAATAAAAATCAAAAAGATAYTCTGGAAAACCCAAAATGTTTAAAAATTGGATAACATACTTCTAAATAACCCACAGGATGGAGAAAGGAAAATTAAGTTCAAATTTTCAAAATTTCAAAATCTGTGGGATGCAGGTGAAGGAGTTTAAAGGGAGAAATTCACAGGATGACCTGCCTGAGAAAGGAGGAGCATCAATGATCTCAGATTCTACTTCGTGAAACTGGAGAAAGAGGAGCAAACACAAGCACAGGAAGCAGCAGAAGGGAAAGAATGAAGATGAGATTAAAATTCACATAATGGAAAGCAGAAATTGACCAAGAAAGATCATCAAACAATGAAACCAGCAGCAGATTCTTTGAGAAGACCATGGGGTCCAAAAGGGAGAAGACACAAGTGAACAATGTTAGGGATAACAGAAGTGACGTTGCTGGACAGTCTCTAGATATTAGAAGAATCACAGGGGACATTATAAACAACTTCATGCCAATACATTTGACAACTTAGGGAAAACAGAAAAATCAACTAAAAGATACAAACCACGAAAGCTACTTGTGGGGATCACTGAATRCCCCTGTGTCTATCAACAAAACCCAATTCGTAGTTACAGCCTTTTTGCAAAGAAAACGCCAGACCCACAAAGAAAAAACTCCAGTCAGAAATTATCTTATAAAAGTTTAAGAAAGAAATCATGCCATTTCTATACCCATTCTATACAAATAGAAAAAAAAAAAAAGCCTGGCTTTTCCTGGCTCTTTCTCTGATGCCAGTATAATTCTGATAATAAAACCRAAGATAGTGAGGAGAAAAAAAAACTAACAAATGCCCCTCATGTACATAGATGCAAAAAATTCCCAAGTTTAGCAAATCAAATACAATAATACATAAAAGAAAAYCATCATGACTATGTGGAATTTATCCCAGGAGTGCACTCAGCTTCTCATTTGAAATCAATCAATRCAATATTCCACATAAACAAAGGAAAAATAAAACCATGTCGTCATTTTAGTAGACAAAGAGCATTTGATGAAGTCTATCATCCATTCCTTATTTTTTTTTTAAAAAAAGTGATTAAGAATAAAGTAGAACTCTCTTCACCTAATACAGTGTGTCTGTGAAAATCCTAAAACTACATCATACCCAGGAGGGCAAACCTGAARGAACTCCATGAAAGCTTTGGGACAAGACAGGGATGTGCACTGTGGCAACTCGTATTCACCATGGTGCTGTGAGTGGCCCGCACACCCTGATCTGATCACTACACACCTCTCCAGAGGTGTTACAGTGCACCCCAGAAATGTATGGGGTTACTATGTGTCCATTAAAATATGTTAATCCATGAAAAATGACAATTTTAAAATGTAATTTATAATGTATGATTGAGCCAGATGTAAAAACTGTAAGAAATCTTTGGGTTTGGGGTTAGCTCAAGACTTTTTATATAAAATACAAAAAAAAAATGATGCATCAATGAAAAAAACATGAAAAATTAAGCATCTCTGCTCTTTGACAGGCGCTCTTAGTCACTAAGCCACAGACAGGGAGAAGATCCTTGAAAATTACATATCAGATACAAGACTCATATCCAGAATTCACAAAGAACCCTCAAAACTCAGTGAGAAAAAAAAGACAAACAATCTGAAAACATATAATAGATTTGAATGGTCATTTTGGCAAAGAAGCACATCAGGTGATGTTCAATATAGAGTCGTTAAAGAAACAAAACTCAAAACCATTACTGCACACCCAGTGGGATGTCTAAAGCTGAAATGACGGGAGGGAGCCGTGGGTTCAYGCAACAACATGGGTGAATTTCAATCATTTTGCCGAGTAAAAGGAATCCATCRAAAAGGGTAGACTCCCATCATTATGTACAACTATAATRCACTAATAAAAATGTGGARAAAAGGGTAGGGACCCTATGACTTCACTTATAAAAAATTAGGAATTGCRAACTTAACTGAAGGCACATGGCAGAAGGCAGATGAGCGGTTGCTTGGGAATCTGGAGAAAGGTAGGGAAGCAGGTGTGAGATGATGGGAAATACATGCAGAAACCTGGAGGCAACAGATATGCTCATTTCTCGACTGTGGAAATGGGTTTGTGGGGGTACGCATGTGMAAAAACTTACAAAGTTGTGCACTTTAAATAGTATATGTCAATTACAGCTCYATAAAGCTATTTATGGAGTGGAAATCCTTAAAAACACATCTTCCTGGAAGTAAGGACATCTGTACCTGAATCTCCCCTTGAGAGCCTGGCTTTCCTGGGGCACCACTCCTCAGACCTTTTCAAAGTACCTCCATGTTAGTTAACTCTCTGATCAGCAAACCCTGCAACTTAGAAATAGCTTCTTCCAGTCACTGAACATCACATTGGATGGCCTAAATGCATCTGATATCTGGTCAATCTCTAAAAATTATTTATGTCCTTCATTTTTCACATAGCTTATTTTAAATACTTTATACATTCTGGGTCAGTGCCATTATAATATTTTATGAGCCATAGCTATGGGCATAGAGTTACATATTCAGAAGACTAGCTCTATAGAACTGGGGAGGAAAAGAAAATTGGAAARAGCAATATCATCAAAGTTGTGACCTTTAAATAGCATATGTCAATATATGATCAATATATCATAGTTTACAATCAAGTAGAAACTTTAAACTCTTTTCCTTAATACGACAGACCTTGAAAAAAATTCACCTATAAATTATAACGCACTTGGAAGTTATTGCCACCTGACTACTGT